ACACGGCATGGAATACCCCGTTGGCCAGCCGGGCCATCTGCCCCAGGCTATGGTCCCTCCTCCCAGCCTTTTGTGAACTTGGCAGAGCAGGGAAGCTGAATGTCCTTGATATTGCTAAGTAGGGCACGTAGCAACAACTAGAAATATAAGTGTGTTATCAACATTCTTCTCACTCTAAATCCAAAACACAGCACTAGGAAGAAATTTAACTCTATCCTAGCTGAAATGAGAACAGAACTGAAATCAGAATGCCAATGCCCAAGTGATTAGTGCACAGAATTTTTTTTTTTTTTTAAAGCGCTTAGTAACTGGTATAATTTTGCTTCCATTGAATTAATTGGGAATTTCAAATTCTTTGCAGCAATGGCACATTATTGCCTTATTTTCAACTTGGTGTCTACCAGGACCCCCAGGTCTTTTTCTGTCAAGCTGCTTTCCAGGTGGGTGGCCCCCACCATGTGCTGGTGCCTGAGGTTGTGCCTCCCCAGGTGCAGGACTTTGCACTTCTTCTTGTTGAACTTCATGAGGTTCCTGTCAGTCCATTTCTCCAGCCTTTTGAGGTGCCTCTAGATGGGGCACAACCTTCTGGTGTCAGCCACCCCTCCCAGTTTGGTGTCATTAGCCCTGTCATCTAGATCATTAATAAAGACATTAAACAGGGCTGGACCCAGTATTGACCCCTGGGGTACCCTGCTAGTTACTGGCCTCCAACTGGACTTCACGCCACTGATCACTAGCCTCTGGGCCTGGCTTTTCAGCAAGTTTTCAACCCACCTCACTATCAGCACTGGTTGTCTGTTCCAGTCAAGGGTGCATCCCCAGAAGCCATGTCAGGCGTGAAAGAAGATCTTTCCAGCTTTGAAGACAACATTGGCAACAGTTTGATTTGAAATGGAGGACTTTTTATTTTTCCATGCTTTTATCTTTCTCATTAATGTGCACATTATTCTGTAGTAAACTAAATTAATTTTAACTTCCAGACAGCCTACAACCACACGGCACCACCTGAGAGCCCTCTGTGCATCTGCATTGCAGTTCTCCATCGGGTGGACATCTTACGTTTCCTTGCCCCAGGTTGAGCTGTTCAGTTATATTTCTCTGTGTGTGCGTGTATGTGTGTGTGTGCATTTAGGGCACTGGTGCGGGGATAAATTGTGTAATGGACAGTTTTCCCTAGGCAGTTGGGATGTAGCTGTGTTGGAGGTGTGGAAGGTGAAAGCCCTGGGGTTTTTGTGTGTGTGTGTACATCAGTGCAGTACCTTTTGAGGTCTGGCTCAGAGACTGGCCCCAGCCTCTTTCATGGAGGGGAACATGCAGAGG